CTTGAGCTCACTTTGTAGCCCAGGCTGGTCTTGAACTCACAATGATCCTCCTGCCTCAGCCTCCTGAGTGCTGGGATTACAGGCGTGCGCCACCATGCCTGGCTATAGAATTGCATGTTTATAGCCAGCCCTGGACATAATGAGACCCTATTTCAACAAAAAGGTGGGGAAGGTGTAGCTCAGTGGTACAACACTTGCCTAACATACAAGAGGCCTTGAGTTCAATCTTTAGCAATATAATTTTTTTTAAAAAATACATCCTTGTAAGAAGGAATAAATATTCAGCACTCTTTCTTTTACAAACAAAACCAAAAAGGGTATACTAACTAAATAATGGAAGACCAAACCCTATAGTTCTGGCCAATCCAAAATAGTAGTCACTAAGCACATATGGCTACTTAAACATAAATTTAAAATTAAAGAAGTAAAATTCAAATTTCAGTTCTTTAGTCACACTAACCACATTTCAAGTGCCCAATAGCCACATGTAGCTAATAGCTACTGGTTCAGACATACAGACATAGAACATCTCCATCACAGCAAAAAATTCTCATTAGACAATGCTACCACAGATGTTGCAGTATATGTTGAGGGCAAGGGAAAGCCAGCTAACTGCATATAGTTACATGTTAATGAAAATTTTTAATCTTACCAAGAATGCTTAAGAAAATGGTATGAAAAACTGGTTTTCTGTTTAGTTAAAGCTGCTAGAGGGAAGGAGATCATTCACATAACTTACATCCGCTTTTGTTTTAAAACTCGCAAGGCTTTCTGCTTGACCATATTCTGTAGAGAAAAACAGATTTAATTTTTTTTTAAAAAATTTTTTTGAAGTAGAAAACATACATATAGCAAAAGAAATCTCCCATATCCTCAATTTCCATGTCTACTTACTTTCTTCTTCAAAGTAGTAGTAGACACAGTAGCTTCTGGATTCTGTTCACTTGTATCTCTGCTGTCCTTAGCGCCTGTCTGTCCTTGTATCCCACATTTCAGTGTCCAGATCTACTTGTCCTTTTCATAATACCTAGTATCTCCACTTCTAAAGCCCAACAGAGCCCAATTCAACATGTCCAGACTCTTCAATCTCTTTTTGGACAGGGTCTTGCTATGCATTTCAGCCTCAAACTTGCAGCAATCCTCCTCCTGCCTCAGCCTCCCAAATGCTGGGGATACATGTGTGCACCACTGCACTCAGCCCATATTCTTTAACCTCATCTCACCTTGGAAACGTCTAAGTTCTGGTTGAGTACCTTTACATCAAACTTGTCTTTCCTTTCTACTGTCTTTTCCCGAGTTTCAAACAACTCTGTTGTCTTTTAAACTGACTCTTGTGTCGTTCTCATGACTACTTACCAACATGTGGACCTATTATCTCCTCAAGTCTAGACGGGCTTTCCTCCTTCTGTTCTTTGCACCATACCATCAGTGAAGAAAAGTCTTTCCTTTCTTTTCCTTTTATTTTGCAGTACTGTGGACTGAATCCAAACAGTAAGCTATAGCCTCAGCCTTTTTTTATTTTTTGAGACCAGGTCTTGCTAAGTTGCCCAGGCTGGGCCTAAACTCATGAACCTCCTTTCTCAACCTCCCAGAGTGCTGGGATTACAGGTGTGTGCCAGCACACCTGGTGCCTTCCCTTTCTACAATGTTCCGTATATTATTTTGTCTCCTCCAATAAGGAAGAAAAAACAGATATTATTTATCTTTCAAGTAATACCTAGTATTTATTGATACTGTTTTAGACATAGTGCTCTGCAGATCACATGAATTACTGCACTTAATCCTCACACTATAAAATATGTATTACCCCCTTTTGTATAGGTGCTGCTGAAGCAAGCACCATATTATATGCAGATGGGAAAACTGAGGTTCAGTAATGCCTGACTCACATGGTTAATAAATTCCAGAACTGAAAAAGTAAGACGGTCCTACATCTATTGTTTGTGTTTAAATACATTACGCTCCTACTTAACAGAAGCAGAAAACAGGTAGTCATATAATAGTGACAGCATCAAAATATTGCTCCCACATGCCTAATTCAGTACTTTTTCCCAGCAAGCCACTCCTTAACCAGTCAGTATCTACCTAACCTGACCTGCCTGGCCAACTTTCTGGTTGTGAGCTCCACCTATCCCTTTTCTCCAGATTATAGCCTTCTCAGGAGAATATGCTCATCCCCACATACATGCTTCTGGACATGGGATCAGCACCTTCTCTTGACCAAATCAAATCCAGCCTTTCTTTCAAATCTGGCTGCAATCTCTCCTCCCTGAAGGATACATCTTCATGCATACTTTCTCTTTAACAGACAATGTCAGGGGCTGGGGATTTAGCTCAGCGGCAAAGCGCCTGCCTGGCAAGTGCAAGGTAGTTAGTTCGAGTCCTGGTACCGGAAGAAAAACAAAAACAAACAAAAAACAGACAATGTTTTTCGTATTCTTTACCTATTTCTACAGGTGCTCAGACTGTCACAATACCTTCTGCAGCAATTGCTGCCTGCCTTACCTTCGCAGGACCCTCTCTCATCTTCTTGATTTGATCCTTGTACTTCACTAGCTCAGCATCCAGCCGGGAAATCTTCTTATCTATTGATTCCGCCCTGCTGTCCACCTTGGGGAAAATAGGAAATCAGTAGAAGTTACTGCATTATATTCACATGGGAAGGGGCAGGACAGGAACACGGAGAAAGAAACAAAATGAAACAAAGCCAGTGGTAAAGTATGGAAAACAGTGCTTCGCTTGAAGTGGAAGGTGATTCCCTGAAGGGCTTCTACAAACTGTTCTTTCCCCGATTCTGAAATAGCAGGTACCCCTGAAGATGAAGTAAACAAGTAATTTATCACTGGGCCAAGCTGAGGTTCCCCGACAGTCGCCGACTGCTCAGGCCGGGGCTCAGCAGGGAGGCGGCCAGCGGACCCGGCCAGCACTGACACTAACCCTCTTCCTGGAGGAGGGCTGGTGGCTTCACCTCGGGGCCACGGTTTCGAGTTTTGTGTTACTGAGACTCAGGACTAAGGCAGAGAGATGCTGACCGCGGAGGGAACAGGGAGGGCCCTGACGGGCGCGGGACGCAGAACGGGACGCGGGAAGGGGCGGCGCCGGGCAGGCGGGAGGAACGCGGCCTCCGTAGGCTGGGTGAGCGGACCCCGGCCACAGCGACAGCGCAGTGGACACCGGGCGGGCCGAGCGGAGGCGGCCGGGGTATCGATGAGGAGGAGGGTCCCGGGCCTGCCGCGTCAGGAACGGGGGACGCGGACGACGGGACGAAGGTGGCGGCGGAGAGCGCCGACACGGAACGGGCCGGGACAGGGGGTGGAGAGGAGCAGCCGCCCGGGCCGCGGCGGGCGGGCGGGCGGGAGGGCGTGGAGCCCCGGGCCTTGGCGCTGTCAAATGCCCACCGTGCCAATGCAGTCAGTCAGGCTGGGCGGCGGAGCCTTCGGTTTCGCTTTCCCGAAGAATCGATTCATCCTGGACAGCCGCGAAGAAACCCAAACACTGAGGGGAAAACTAGAAACGGAAGCGGAAGCGCTCCCAGCTCAACTTCCGGCCCCCCCAAGCGCAAGCGCAGTGTGTCCGCTGGAATTTCTCGACCCTTTTTCCGGGTTTTCAGTTGGGGCTTCCGGGGAAGGAGCACAGAGCTCTGGAGAGAGCAGGGAGGGAGCCAGCCGTGGGCGGGGCCTGGTGCGCGTGGGCGGGGCCCCGGCTGACGGGGTGGGGCTTGAGCGGCTTTCGCGGGCAGGCAGGGGCGGCAGCGTGGGGGGCGTGGCGGA